TCATTCCAGAGCCTCGGCCCCAGCACAGAGAAAGCACGACCCCCTTGAGATTGTAGTCTGTGTTTAGAAACGACCAACAGTCCTTGATGTGCTGACCGAAGGTTCCTTGCGGGAACATAAGGATAGATTAGATCTGCCAGATAACGTGGAGCCAACTCATTTAAACATTTAAAAACAATCACCAGAACTTTAAACGAAATTCTAAAAGAGACTGGAAGCCAGTGTAGGGATGCCAAGACAGGCGTGATGTGTTCAGATCTCCTGCTACCAGTCAGTAACCTGGCTGCCGCATTTTGGACCTTCTGTAGTTTCGCTATGGAGGCCTGCTTGATGCCTGCATAAAGCGAGTTACAGTAGTCCAGTCTGGTGGTAATGAAGGCGTGGATGACAGTTCCCAGATGTTTACGTGATAGCAGCGGCTTAATCCTAGCTATTCTCCTGAGATGGAAATAGCAGGATCTGATTTTTCCATTAACCTGGGTGTCCAGTGTGAGCTCAACATCCAACTTCACCCTGTCACACCCTGTCCTGTGTCCCCATTTGGTTCAGCCTGTGTCTCTGTTGATTGCTCCCACCTGCCTCTCGTTTCCCAATCACCCAAGCTCCCAGCCCTCCTGTATTTAAACCCCTCCAGTTCTGTGTCTCTTGTTGCCTCATTGTTTGCATGTCCCGTGTGTTCGTGATTAAAATCCCTCTAAAATCGTTTCTGCCTGCCTGCCTGCCTTCTCCCCTGCATTTGGATCCTCACCTCCGTTCCACTCACCGGCACGTCCTGACAGAATGAGGCAACCTCCTAGAGGATCCAGGGGGGAGATTCTCCCCCGGGAGTGCCTGCCCCGGTTCCTCTCCTCGGACCACCGGCCGGCTTCTCCTCCTCCGGCGTCGCCTCGCCGCCGCCGCCGCCGTCACCGGACTTCAGCTTCGGCGATCCTCTCCACCCTCCTGGAGCCAGATTAGGGGTTGGGCTGGGAGACGCTGCCAGACCGCTCCTGCTACGTTGGCACCAGACCGGCTGTGTGCTCCCCGGAGTTGGCCCACGGCGTGGGGAAGGACGCCGGGCTCCACCGCAACCCTGCGTCCCAGGACGGAGCAGCGAGCTCGCCGCTGCCCCGGCTCGGTGCACCAGCTTGGACCCGCCCCTGTCAGACCAGCAGTCCCGTCTCCGGTCCAATCAGCGCCTCCGTCATCTGCAGGCAGAGGAACCATGCCTACAGTCCAGCTGACGGAGCTCGCAGTCTCCAGGCGAAGCTTGACCGGATCCGTCAGCTCGTCAGCCTCCGGGAGTTCCTGCTGGACACCCTATCCTCCCCGTATCTCCAGGAGAGAGTTTCTGTCCAGCCAGCGGCCCCGCCTCCAGTCCAGTCAGCAGCTTTCTCGTCTCAGAGCCAGAGGAGCAAGTCTGCAGTCCACCCAGCAGAGCTCACCGGTCTCCAAGCTGAGCTGGACCGACTCCGTCAGATCCTCAGTCTCCAGGAGTTCCAGTTGGACAATTTATCCTCCCTGCTTTTCCAGTTACCGGCTCCACTAGGTCCCGCGCCACCAGTCCAGTCAGCGCCAAGTCCAGCGGTGGTCCCGGAGGTCGCACCGCATCCAGTTCTGGCGGTGGGCCCGGAGGTCGCACCGCGTCCGGTCCAGCCTATCCAAGCGGTCCCGTCTGCAGCAACTCCTCCTCCACTCCAGAAGCCGGCGGTCCAGAAGCCGGCGATCCAAAAGCCGGCAGTCCAGAAGCCGGCAATCCAGGAGCCGACGGACCAGAAGTTGATGGAAGTCGACGCCCCCAGGCCAGAAGTCGACACCCCCAAGCCAGAAGTTGACGCCCCCTCCAGTCCAGAGGTCGACGCTCTCTCCAGTCCAGAGGTCGACGTTCTCTCCAGTCCAGAGGTCGACGCTCCCTCGTGTCCAGAGGTCGACGCTCCCTCATGTCCAGAGGTTGATCCTCCCTCGTGTCCAGAGGTTGACGCTCCCTCGTGTCCAGAGGTCGACGCTCTTTCCAGTCCAGAGGTGGACGCTCTTTCCAGTCCAGAGGTGGACGCTCTTTCCAGTCTAGAGGTCGACGCTCCCTCATGTCCAGAGGTCGACGCTCTCTCGTGTCCAGAGGTCGATGTCCCCTCTAGTCCGCCGTCTCCAGTCCCGGAGGTCGCATCGTGTCCAGTTCCAGTGGTGGTCCCGGAGGTCGCACCGTGTCCAGTTCCAGCGGTGGTCCCGGAGGTCGCTCTGTGTCCAGTTCCAGTGGTGGGCCCGGAGGTCGCTATGTGTCCAGTTCCAGCGGCGGTCCTCGAGGTCGCACCGTGTCCAGTTCCAGCTCCAGCGGTGGTTCCGGAGGTCGCACCGTATCCGGTCCAGCCCTTCCACGAGGCTCCGGTCCAGCCCTTCCATGAGGCTCTGGTCCAGCCCTTCCACGGGGGTCCGGTCCAGCCCTTCCACGGGGCTCCGGTCCAGCCCTTCCAAGAGGCTGTCTCTGGTCCAGCCCGTCCAAGATGCGTTGTCTCTGGTCTAGCCCGTCCAAGAGGCTTTGTCCCCGGTCCAGCCCATCCAAGAGGCTTTGTCTCCGGTCCAGCCCGTCCAAGAGGCTTTGTCCCTGGTCCAGCCCGTCCAAGAGGCTTTGTCCCCGGTCCAGCCCGTCCAAGAGGCTTTGTCCCCGGTCCAGCCTGTCCAAGAGATGCTGTCCCCGGTCCAGCCTGTCCAAGAGACTTTGTCCCCTGTCCAAGAGGCCTTGTCCCTGGTCCAGCCTGTCCAAGAGACTTTGTCCCCTGTCCAGAGTCTTTATCTCCGGTCCAGCCTGTCCAAGAGACTTTGTCCCCTGTCCAAGAGGCTTTGTCCCTGGTCCAGCCTGCAGAGACTTTGTCCCTGGTCCAGCCTGCAGAGATTTGTCCCCGGTCCAGCCTACAGAGACTTTTTCCCCGGTCCAGCCTACAGAGACTTTGTCCCCGGTCCAGCCTGCAGAGACTTTGTCCCCGGTCCAGCCTGCAAAGACTTTGTCCCTGGTCCAGCCTACAGAGACTTTGTCCCTGGTCCAGCCTACAGAGACTTTGTCCCCGGTCCAGCCTACAGAGACAATGCCCAAAGATCCATCTAAAGGGTCGACGTCTCCAGTCTGAGAGGATGACGTCTTCCCCTTCTCTCAAGAGTTCCAGTCTCAAGAGTCTCCGTCCTCTCAAGAGTCGTCGTCCCCGTCTACGCCCTCTCAAGAGTCTTCAGTGCCCCATGTGTTTCAGTCTCCTGTGTCCCGTCCTCGCCTCCTCCTCTGCCGCAGACGCTGGCCCCCAAGAGCCCACCGTCATCTCCTCCTCTGCAGCAGACGCAGGCCCCCAAGAGCCCGTTGTCGCCTCCTCCTCTGCCGCAGACGCAGGCCCCCAAGAGCCCGTCGTCGCCTCCTCCTCTGCCACAGACGCAGGCCCCCAAGAGCCCGTTGCCGCCCCCAGGCTGGTGACCACAGCCTTCTCAAAAGGCGCTAATGAAGGAGAGTCAATCCCTTGGGCACATCCATGTTTGTATTTCGGGCAGAACAGGATAGTCTCAGTTTTATTCTGGTTGAAGAACAATAAATTTTGAGCCATCCATAGCTTGACCTCCTCCAAGCAGTCCAAGAGTGGTTTAAAAGAACTTGAGTTATTGCATGATACTGGTAAATAGATTTGACAGTCATCCGCATACAGGTGAAACTTGATGTTGTGCCGACGAAACAAGTTACCCAGCGGCAGCAGATAGAGGGAAAAGAGGAGAGGTGCCAGGACTGATCCCTGAGGCACTCCAAACTGCAAATCAGCAGTATCAGACGAACAGTCCCCCAGTCTTACACAAAAATTCCTCCCTGACAGGTAAGGTAAGATTTTATCCACTGGAGTGCTAAGCCTGATATTCCCACCCAGTGCTCCAGTCGACCAATCAGGATATTGTGGTCTATGGTGTCAAATGCCGCAGTCAAGTCCAAGAACACCAAAACCGCAGCCTCCCCAGAATCGTTTGCTATCATGATATCATTCAAAACCATCAACAGGGCTGATTCTGTACTACGGAGAGACTTAAACCCAGACAGAAAAATCTCTAGCATCTCATTTTCATGTAGAAAGGATATCATTTGGGCATACACAAGTTTTTCTAAGACCTTAGCTAAGAAAGGCAGTGGGGAAACAGGCCTATAGTTAGATATGTTCGACGAATCTAGGCCAGCTTTCTTCAGCAGAGGGCGCACTACTACATGTTTAAAAGAGCTGGAAACTTCACCGACAGTAGACTGCTATTTATAATTTCTAAAACATAAGGAGACACAGCTGGAAAAACTTATTTTAGAAGTTTAGCAGGGATTGCGTCCAATACAGAACCAGATGGTTTCAGACTATTGACCACCTTCTCCAACTCCATGAGAGATGTTGGATAAAAGGTCTCCAGGAGCCCTGGGGCAGGACCCCACAGAGGAGGGTAGTAAATGGAGGGTGGGATCGAAGCCTTCGTCCTCCCCACTTTGTCCACAAAAAAGTTGAGGAAATTATTGCAGGATTCTGTAGTGTACTCAAAGACAGCTTTCCAGAGTCCTGCAGGTCTGGCAGAGAGGTCATTAAAGCTAAAAGACTGGACTTGTGAATGCAAATGAAAGTTCAAGAAAAAAATAAGAGGATTCATAGGAAAATAAAAGTAGTAACTTGAGTTCTAGTTCTGATGCAGAATAAATGTTTATTAAAGTGTGCTTGGTTCTAAAGGAAGGGGTGTGTGGTGTGTTTCATTTTGAAACAGGTTGAAAACAGGAAGTGATGTTGAGTTGAGGGAGTTGGAGACTGATGTGGTTCATGGCTCGAAGGCGACTCACAAGTGTTTTATAAAAACCAAGTAAAATTGCAACATGCAAGATAAAGGAAAATATATTTTCGGGCTTTAATAGTTCAAAGTTACTTGCAGAGATTGTTTTGGTCAATTAAAATTTGTTTTTGTAGCACATTGCTTCATGTTGAATCAAATAAGTGATTAAAATAATAAACATTTAATATAATATTTAGGATTATTTTTCGACCTGCGGTTAAATGACCCTTACCGGTTTCTATACAAAACCCAACAGAGTCCTTTCTTTCAACCAATCACTGTGTACGTCTGTGTCACGTGATCAGCAGTGCAGCAAATTTGAATTATTAGCGAGGTGTGTGTGTGTTTTGTTACGTTTTAGTGAGGAGTTGGAAAAATATTGGTGTTCAATGATACTAAAGGTTTGTGTTTTTGCAATAGTAAGGCTGTGACAGCGCGAGAGTTCAGTGAGACGGTGAAAGAAGAGTTTTAGCTCTAAATCGTTAGTTTTAAGTTCATGTCCGGTATTATTCAACGTAGCTAAAAGCTAGCGGGCTAGCTAGCATTACACCAGCAAGGCAACGTTGAGAGTTGGAGATACACTATAAGCCCTCTGTTACTGTCTGTCCGCTCGTGTCATTACCTAGAGTTTAATGAAAACGTCGTTGACTGATCTAGAAACTTCTTTTTACCAAACAGAAGAGCTGAAAGCGGGATGGACTGTGGAGCTAACCGAGGTAAGTTGCTGGCCTCGGGTCAGTTTTTATGTCTCGTTTCTTTTGCTGCATTAACGAGCGTTATGCTTACGTCACTTATTCCCCTAAACAGATGTGCTACTTCTGCAAGACGAGGAGTTCGATTTCGATGTTACCCTGTCACCTGACAGGTAAAACCCGTCTAAAACTCTTGCAAACGGATCACGTGCCACCCAGATGTCGGCATTTTAAAGTCATTGTCTTGTAATGTGCGGATCTGTTTGTTCTGCAGCACTAAAGGTGATGATGACGATGAGGTGTTTGTTGATCCTGTCAGTCATGCAGAACGCTGTGCCTCCGTTAATGTAGAATCTGAGCTGGAGGAATACGGAGCGTGGGCAAACTGGACCCCACTGACAGGTGATCAGCTGGAAGTTGTGTGTCAGGAAGCTCACAGACTGGCCAGCCAGCTGCAGAATGGAGAGCCGCATAGTGGTCACACAGAAGCTGCCATCATCAAATCAAACACCGCTCCTGGAAGAGAAGAGTTTGTCCAAGATGCAGAAGCTAAAGTGGGCTTACTGGGTCAGAGCGCCAGAGTACTCAGCCCCGTCAAACGAGAGACCTTCTGCGTGCAGGACAGTCCAATGAAGCAGCTGCCACCCGCCATCCAGCGCCACCTGCTGAGGGGGAGCATCTCTACCACTGCTCCATCAACCCGTCCCGCTACCAGGCTCAGTACTTCCAGTCCTTTAGTTCGATCCAGAGCTCAGCCACATACATCTCTGAGAGGGAAAGCCTCACTGGGGGTTGCTGTTGTGCTTCCAAGCAAGCCCCTTATTCCCCCAACTTCGTCCTCAGCCAGCAAGAACAAAGTGGAGAGAATGACACTGCAACCACCAAGCAAGGTGGAGAAGTTTTTGTTTCATACCTGTTTACTTATAAAGAGTGAGAGGCGGGATGATTTAGTTGACTGTACATGTCTTGTTTTGTATCTCCTGAGTCAGGTAGCTGGAGTTCTGAGACGAAGCCCGTCCACGCGCTCCATCAACAGGGCTGACTCGAGTGAGGACTTGCTGTCTGATTCAATGAGTGTGGCCTCTGACATCAGCGATTCCTCCATTAATTCCAGCTTGTTGGGAAAACGCACCTTAGCTCCGCCCACCAAGGTATCACCATGTCTGTTTAAACAGTCTGAATTGAATTATTCGAGTACTGAAATGTGAACTTGTGCCTTTCTGTTTACTGCTAAACCACTTTACAGTGATGCTGTGTCAAAAACTAGTATCAATTATCTCCTTTTCCACTGAAGAACTCCTGGTCCTGTCCAGAGGTTACCTAAAGTAATGTTTTTTCCTGCCCTACAAATGAAGGAGAAGGAATGTTGGTAGAATTTCATGTTCACAAAAAATTTTCAATCGTGAAAGTAAATCACTCCGTGTGTGTGTGTGTTATTATATTTGTACTGCAGTGCCTGACTCTCACGGGCTTTAGCTTGACAAAACCAGGTGTAGGGCTGCCACTAAAGACTACTGTCTTCACCGGTCAACAAAATCTACAGTTTTAATGCAGTTCGGGCCAGGGTTCGGTTGGGATGTGCTGTCCTGGTGAACCATAGCACGGTGTAATCTGTGAAACCATCAACCGTGTTAAATCCTACTGTTGCTGCCCCTTGGCATCCAAGAGAAATAAGGAGGGGAGCTTCGACGGGTGCAACTTTTTATTTGCGTCAGGCTGTAGATGCACACATCTCATTCCCAGAATCGCACCTGGCGCCAAGCACTGTGCAAACTCCGTGAAAACTGAAAATACATAATTTACAAACAAATTAAAGACAATCGCTGACAAACATCAAGAGCAACAAACAGAAACAAAGAACAAATACCTTGCTCCTCTTGCCATGGGGTGCAATCAAAGTAATGTCACGCAGAGGCTTCGCACAGCAAGACCATAGACTAAATGTACAAGCATTTGTTAGAGCGACACGTTCTTATTTAATCAATTTTAATCAGAATACCCTCACTTACGTGGAAGTTTGGTCTGCTGCAACGCGCCAAGCCAGGTGGAATGCCAACGCCACGTCCACATCCGGTTTAACGCCCACTTATACGCAATTGAATGAGTGACGTTGACAATCCACCTGCCTGCAGCCATTTACACCTACCACAAACAGTACAAAGGATTTTGTAACATTGTGATACCAATAATTGAGGATAAGAACAAACTCTTATTTATGCTTTTGAAAAATCTTGAATATTCAACTTACTGTAAATTTCAGATATGTAGACATTCATGAGATTTATTTATTTATGGTATTAATCGTATTAAAGCTACAAATCTGCTAAACAATCTAGCTTCAAACATTTTCTCCTAACGTTCTAACGTAGTATTTATATAAATGTTTTGTGGAGATTAAAAAGAAATGAAGTGCTTCTTCCCCTTTTGTCTAAAAACCTCAGCTAATAACTGCTCTCGTGGACCATCCGGTTGTCGGTCTCACCAATCCGCCGCACCTCCCTTGGTCCTCCACTCACACACCCATGTCTTTAGCAGCAGAACAACACTGGTGTGAGAGGCTCTCTGCTCAGGGGGGGTTGTCTTTCAGAGTCTGACTCCTTCGGTCTTTTGAAAACTTTGAAAACGTAACTAGTTTGACACGAAACCAACATGGATTTGGCTGATTGATGACTGCAGCCTCCATCAGCTCACGTCCGTCTCCTCCGGTAACCACTGTTGTTGTTTTCATCCTCTCACAGAGTATTAGAGCGAGGGACTTCTCCGGTGTTAAAGCTCTGCCTTGCCAGAGCAGGAGGATGAGCGATGTGAGGAAGTCGTCCTCTTCATCATCATCTGTGTCCAGCTTCAACTCCAGCATGTCTCTATCCCCTGCCAAAGGTACATTAGCTGCTAAAAGCTCACATGATGAGCAATCAGCAGCCCAAAGAATGTGTAAAGCAGCGTCTAAGTAATGTGTTTGTGTTGTGAGTTCTTCAATAATGACACTCTTTAGATCTTGAAGTGGCTCTGATGCATTTTAGCTTCTTTTACCACGGGATGTAGCCGGAACAGCCGGCTCGCTCACAGTGACTTTCAGATCTCATAACTCGCATCACTCACCCGAACAGACACATAGGACAACTTCTATTTGCTCTCATCATTACAGACATTTTGAAGCAGTACAGAAATATTTGATGTCAACATTAATGATGAATGAGTGAATGTAGATGGATTATACTGATGTGCCTGTGTTATTGTACGCCTTTCAGAGCAACGGTAGACATAAAATCTGATCAAATATTACAGATGGCCCTCTTGAAATTTCATGTTGTTTTTCGAAAGTTTAGGTAATGTGGTGCTTTCACGTCTGGGCCAGCACGGACCGGACCGAGTAGCTTTTAAAGTGTTTACATCTAGGTAACCTTGTATTTTGCCGCGCTCATTCAGTGGGTTTTTTGGCCCACATACTAAGCTTTGGGCTGAACTGGTCCAACACGCCCACTGCCAACTGATTGGCCAGCTCAAACACACACCTACTGTTAGAGGGAGCCTCCGATTGGCTTCCCGCATGCACGATTCGTTTTGGTTCTGGATACTGAGAAGTCACTGCGTGATCATTCCACAGCTTACTGCTACAGCGGTGCGGTGCAGGTCGAAGGCTATAAAACCTTTCTCCATGCCTGCATCAAACCCCGGATTTCTGTTTTTGTTGTCATGGTACCCCTAGGAATGCTGCAGATAAGCCAGAATAGGGAAGATGCAAAGTAATCATAACATAGTTTGCATTTATGGCAGAAAGTGGTTGTGTAGGAGACAGGATGTGATCCAGAAACACCTGAGCACACTTACATGACAGATGGGATTTGTAAAGCACAACTTACATAGGCAGAGTTTATTGGTCAGAAAATTAGTTTACGTAAGTCTTTTTTTGTAAATGAGGCTCCCAGGGGAGATCCAACATTACCCAGATGAAGAGAAGCAGGGCTTAAAGGGACTTTATGGACTTTTGAATTTTTATGCTCGTGATTGCCCCCTCAGGCCAAAAGCATAACGGCAGCTTCAATAGTAGGCTCTTGCACGAGGCGCCCATGCTGTACGTGCACACTCCTTAACGAAAATAACAGCTGAGACAGTCCCGTGTGTGTGTGTGTGTGTGTGTGTGTGTGTGTGTGTGTGTGTGTGTGGCTTTGCACATACCTGTAGTTATCGTCCATTTATCGTTATCGAGGTGAAATAGTTGTTAGATATTTTAGATATCGGCCTGCCCTGGTGCAGTTCAGTGTGAAGCTGCTCAAGAACCATTGAAACCAGTTTATAAGCAACAGCATCAAGTGTTAAACTCTTTAGTGCTATTTTAACTTTCACCAAACCAACCAGCTGTCCAAATTAACTCGTTACCTGGTAAACACTCTTGACTAAGTTAGCGTAAACCAGCTGTGTCAGCATTATTGCCATCCAGTCTGGAGTTGTAGCTCTTCTGTCTCCCCCTAGGTAAACCGAATTCCTCTCTGAACCGGAATCGGAGCACCCCCGCTGGCCACACCCCCAGCAGCATGAGTGGAGCCAGTCAGAACAGAGCTCGACACTCCACTGCCTACGCAGCAGCAGAACCAACTTCCTCTGGTGCCAGCCGCCGCTCTTTGTCTGCCCAAGTCAAGAGTCTGTCTGAGGCTGAGCGAGCCAGAGCCGTCAAGTTCACACCTGTGAAGAGAGCCCGGATCGCACCATCTCAGCCAACACCTCCAAGGAGACTGGCCTCCACGGGTTCAAGCCGACTGCAGAACGGAGTGAAGTCCAAACCCAAATCTGAGGCACTGGCGCCTCCAATGCCGCAAGCAGCAGGAAAAGCACTCTGTACTGCAGATGGTGAGAGAGCTGCTGCTTTCATGTTTATGCAGGTGGAAAATTACTATAAAGTCCCGTTAGTTGTCACACTGGTGTGTGACATTCGTTCTTCATTACCCGTCCTCTGGGGGACCGGTGAACTGCAGACACAGTCGCGCTCAGGAATCATTTGGTGGTTTAACTCGATCAAACCTCTTAATGTTGGGTGTCAAGTGGGGAGGCATTGGGTCCTGTTTTTAAAGTCTTTGGCATGACCCGACTGGATTTGAACCCACGATCTCAGAGTGGACACTCGTACCACTAGGCCACTGAGATGGTGCACTGGTTTACATCATGATGAGAGAAGAATCCTGTCAGATTCAAGTTATTCTGCTACTGAACTTGTAGATTTGTGCTTTTAAAGTCATCGTCCAAAGCAGTGGGTGTGTTCTGAACCAAACGTAACTGTACTTCTGTCCCTCGTCTCCAGATGGATCAAAGGTGTTGAAGTCAAAGAGGCTGTCAACCTGCAGCACTGAAAGGTACGATACCGCCTAGACCTCACCACTGACCGTGTCACTGCTGCTGATCTTCGCTTTGGTACTTTTGCTTTCTTCTTGACATTTTAGTTGAATGTTGGTGGGTTCAGGATCAGGAAGGAAGATCTGTGCTAGGGTTTGGGTTCAGAGTTTGTGGTTAGCTGGTTTAATAAATGATATGGTGGGTGTTCGTTCTGCTTTGTGCTCAGTTTCAACCTTTTTACATGAGAGAATATTTAATCAACTACTTTTTCCCCAGCAGTCTTCATGTGAAACAGTCGGCTGGCTCTCTTACGCCCTCTGTGGGCAGCTGCAAGTCTGTGCTGGTGGCGACACAGCGCCCATCCGCCCTCCCCACCCCCGCCAAGTGCAGGGCTTCGGCCATTCCTGCCCCCTCCAGCCAAGCCCGGGCTGTCAGGTCCCGCTCCAATATCACGCCCACCCCTACTTCAGCAGGCAGACAGCGCAGCTGCAGGTGAGAGGTTTGAAGCTGCTTTTAGGAAGAGGGGGTGGTTTTGTTTCGGGGAAGGGGTTTTGTGTTTGATGTTTTATTTTTCTGTAGCCCGATTCTGAAGGACTCAGAGGAGGAGGAGTTTATAAATCCCCCTGAGATTAAGCCCTTCTGCCTGGAGGAGGAGGAGGTAGTTCCCATTCCACCCTCAAACACTGAAGAGCCCATCCAAACGGAGAACACGGATGTCAGAGTGTCGACAGACACCAAACCGGCCCCCACCAGAGATCTGATGGACCTGGAGACAACGGAGGAGAGTGCGACCAAAACGCAGGAGGTCAGCAACAGAAAAGCCTGAAACTTTTTCTCAATGTTGTTTTCAATAGAAAAGAAACTTTTTGGTTGTTTCAAGTAGCGATGGGTACCGAATTGATTCAAATGTCAAAGGTACCCATCCCTAGTTTCAAGGGGACTTGAACGGGCCCCCACACACACCTGTGCACTTAAAGGGTCGGTCACCCGCTGGGTGGAGTCTTACTTCACCCACACTCACCTGTCGGTCCGAGAGAGTGGCACTGAGGCAGTGATTAACAACATACGTGTTCTCCGAGTCTCTCAGTCAGAGAACAAAGCTGTTAACGTGTGTGTGGGGGTGTGTGTGTGTGTGTGTGCGCGCACAGCAGCAGAGAAGCTGCAGCAGACTGGAGGATTTTCCTTCCACCTCGTTTGCTAGAAAAGAGGAGGACATTTTTAAGGAGGCAAGTGGCTCTGAGCCATGCTGATTTTCAAAGATCCATCAGAGATTATCTCTTATCTGTGCAGCAGCAACACAGTTTTTATAGGGAGCATGAGTCACTTCCGCATCACGAGTCCCCAGAAGAACGAAAAAATGAGTGCAAGTCAACAGGGCTAAAAAAGCTATTTTCTAATCCGCTTTGCCTCACGCCCTGGATCACACACACGTTGTACTGAAATTAACTGAAAAGTAATGATGGGGGTTTCGACCACGCCAGTCGCGTACTTTGAGATTTATTAGCTTGTAAAAGTTCGTAATTGGCATGACTACAAACTCGAAATCGGCACGTCGCATATGTGACATCACCATAGGGCTGAACGATTTTAGGAGAAAATTGTAATTTTTCAAGCAGAAATTGCAATTTTGCTTCAATTGACGATTTTCTGCAAACAAAGGTCCAACTTGCTAAGCCATCATGTAGATGAAGTTAAAAGATGGTCTAGCTTCTAATCTAGTACAACAAATCGTTCACATTAATATTTACTATTTAATCACACAATAAAAACAGTTAAAGCTATTAATATTTTCTCCCATTATTATTATTATTTTTTTTTTCTTTTATGTGCTTGTGAAGCAACTTGTGATTTTTATCTAGAGAGGAGCTTCATAAAAACGTGTTCTACTCCAAAAATGCATGGAGGAAATCTGTAGGTAGAAACAGCTTTTAAATGTATTAAATAACAAATGCACACAGTTTTCCTGCATTACCGCAGCAGGCTGAAGCCGTCTGATAGCTTTTCCTCACCACAAAGTCAGCTCTGTGAGAGAGACGCACGCATTCCGACACCTTAGCTTGTCTGAACTAATGTGTGCCGTCAGAAACATTCAAACCATTTTTAAAAGAGAAGTTGAGCTTTCAGGTCAACTAAAGTGTGCGACTCCGCACTCGCGCTGACGAAGCATAAACCAAGTCAGCCTGAACCTGCTCCGATGTGGGAGGAGTCTCTCTCAACTACGTTCTCTCTGTCCTGGGCTCACCTACGGTGCCATTCTTATCGGCTCTAGCAGCGCTGTGTGTGGGAACATAAAACAGGGAAATTAACCTGATCATGCAGCTCTGTCAGCTATGGAGTTCGGTTCGGCTCTGGACGGTACACCCCACCCCCCTCCCACGCGCTGGCTTTTGCCGCCGCTGTAATACAGGGTGAAAACCCCGGATGTAAAAAAAAGTTACACAACTGATCCTGGATCAGTCAAAACCACTAAAACTGCAGCTTTGACAGTCACGTGATCGTGCTGTTTGAAATTGCAATTTCGGTCCAAAAACGATAGATCGTTCAGCCCTATGTCACCATGTAATCTCCTCTCCCCTAGCTTAGCTGCTACTTACCACATGACCAGATTTATGGTGGTTTTTTACTCCTGTGGGAAGTTTGCTGAACTTGCAGCCATTTTCCCTCAGTTTTCTCCGTGTCTGGGTTGATGACGTCACTTTCGTGAAGCGCATTTGTAGTCCTGGACTTGTTTTCACACAAAACCTAAAATATCCGTCGTCCCTCCGTTCGAAAATAAGCGCGTTCTTGGTATCAAAATCAATCTTTAAAATTCACAGACGACATATGTGAAATCCATGTCACAAAACAAGCGGAATTTGAAAATAGCGTTTTTTCTTTGCATTCAGTTGTTGGTTCTTCCGGGGACCCGATGTGGAAGTGAATTAGGCTCCCTGTAGATCTGGGCATGTTTAATGTCATCCTGGAAGAAGGATTCATAGCTCGCTAAACTCACAGCCATTCTTTTCTCCTTCTCCGTGCCCGGTGTGATGACATCACTATGGAGAGTATTTGTAGTCTATTACATCTTTTGACACAAAACCTAAAGTAGCACTTGCCATACCTCTGAAATAAGCACTTTCTTGGCATCATAATGTGTCTTTAAAATTCATGGACATTGTATGTGAAATCCACGGCACGTATTAGACGGGATCAGAAAATAACTTTCAGCCCTCCATAGTTTCCCATGAAGTTATGGGCTGTAGGGCACCCATGGTACGGAAGTAGATGGGCGTGACTATTGTAACAGAGTAGCAATCATGATCAACTTTTTTCACATACATATGAATAAACAGCATAATGTGAGAAGAACAATTGTAAAATGATGTGATTTAGCTGTTTTGGTCAGCTAGAGCTTCATGTTGCTTTCAGACGCTTATATAAGGAAGTGAAGTGCTTAATGTTCAGCCGTGACTGGTCAATGAATGAATTAATGAAAAAGTTTTTATCCTCCAGATGGAGCTGTCTGATAAAAAAGTGGCCTGTCTTTGTATAGCGTCGTTTTAGGGTTCTACAACCCCCCAAGGCGCTTCACCACACAATCAGTCATTCACCCATTCACATGCTGGTGGGGATGAGCTACGATGTAGCCACAGCTGCCCTGAGGCGAACTGACAGAAGTGAGATTACCAAACACCGGCGCCACCGGTACCTCCGACCACAACCAACAGGCTAAGTGGGTTAGGTGTCTTGCCCAGGGACACAACAGCAGCGTTCTCTGGTGGGAGCGGGGATCGATCCTACAACTATCTGATTACTGGACAACCTGCTGTGCCTCCTTAAGTTCACCCGAACTTTATATCAATAAAACAGTGTTTGTATAGTGAAAATACTGTTTACATGTCACTGCACACTTTGCAATGTTTACATTTGAACATTTTCAAGAATGAAAACTGTCTGATAAAACAAACATATAAACCAAGCGCAGACTCCATAGTAACTATAACTATTTAACCGTTAAAGGGGCAGCATGTCAATCTCAGTTGCTGCATTGGCTTCGTAATCAGTCGTTTTCTGGGGGCCCTGGCCAGCTCGGGGCCTGATTAAATTGCATTGTTGTAACGGACCTGGTCATAGGTCACCTCAAAGCGAATCCAATTCATTTAATTTCCATGTTGAAGCCAGAAGTTGTAAGTTTAACTTACCTTAAACTGCTTTCTCCCAGGTTCTTCTGCTGGACCTTACACCTCCGAGTCTACAGCCCCAAGAGAAGCTCCTCATTGATCTGACCAACACCCCAGAGTTGGTCTGCAGAAATGAGAAGAGCGGCACTACAACTCAGGTACCTATCAGCCTTTTTCTCAAAAGGCCTGTTTCCATTGTCTGAACGTCAGGGGAAGTTCTGGGAGGGAGAAGATGAATGGGACATATGATTAGGGCTGCTCAATTAATCGAATTTTAATCACGATTACGATCTGAGTTTTGAACGATTATAAAAACAAAGCAAGCCGATTATTTGCTCCTCCCACTTGCGCTGCCCTGAGTTGCAAATGAAGCGCTCCTCCCACAGTGTTGCCAACTTAGCGACTTTGACGCTATTTCTAGCAGCTTTTCAGGCCCCCTTCTTGACTTTTTAACTTAAAAGTACCTGGCGAACACCTCAGAAACATCTCTGGTAACCTTAGCTACCTTCTGGATAACTGTCGTCAACATTTCCTGCAGGTTAGCTAAACACTCCGCCTGCGCTCCGGACCGTTCTTCAGGACATTAGGAAAGGGAATGATGCAGTGTTGTGTCGGTCGCTAAAGAAACGGCTTTCAGAGTCTGCTCTGTTGGATTAACCAGAGTGAGTGACACACACACCGCACCTGCAGACTCCTGAGCCGCTAAAAACGGCTAAATGTGCGCGTGTGGCGCGCTAAACACACGTGCAGCTTGCCCCGATTGCTGTGAGACCGGGGTGGGGGGTGCAGCTGTGGTTGGGACAATTATTACATTAACTGATGGACCTGTAAATAAATAGTTTATAAATAAGGTAGAAATAAGTTCCTCACACTGATAAATAATAACTAATCTCTCTGAGGACACGGTGCTAGTGCACTCTCCTACAGCACCTTGACATGACTCAATAAATGTTATGCAACATTTTGTGAACATCAATTTATTTGCATGTATTTGTTATAAATGCCACTGTATAATTCTTGCTGTCAGTATTTGCAAGATATTGGTATTTGGGTCTGTACTGGTTAGACTTAAATGAGTTAAACCAAGGTCTATAGCCCTTGGGTCATAAACTATGAGTTATAAGTATATTGGTCTTTTTATACTGGGAATCAGGAGTTCTTTTAGTGATCATCTTGTTTCTTATTTTTGTCCTGATTGTGCCCTGAGCAGTTTTATGACTGAATAAAAACAAATGAAATCAACATAAATTGAAAAATCGTCCTAAATGATCGTGAGCTCAATTTCAGTCACCATAATCGTGATTATTATTTTTGCCATAATCGAGCAGCCCTAATTTGGGGTGACTTGTTCTTTGAAGTATAATGAAATATGGTAATAAGACAAGTCTAAACTACAAACTGAAATATAAAGTGAACATAATATTAATGTAAACAGTCACATGTTGAGGTAACAGGGTTAACTAGCTTCATGTAAAGGTGCTGTAGTACAGCAGAATCACTGTTAGTGAGACCTTCTATCAGCAACGTTCAGTTCAGTGATGCTCTTGCATAAAAGCTGTGTAACAGCCTGGTGGTGTGTGTTTTTATTGCCCTGTATCGTTTACCGGATAGAAGAAGTCTGAAGAGATGGTTAGCAGGGTGGGTTTGGTCCTTTAGGATGTTTGTGGTTTTTCAAAGGCAACGAGTGGTGAAAATGTCATCCAGGGCAGGCAGCGGTGTGTTTATTTTCTTTGCTGCTTTGATTGCTCGTGGCTCCAACCTGCTACTGACCCTTTACCACTCATCCATGGAGAGCCTGCTGCCCTACTGCATCACAGTATGGTACGGCAGCTGCACCATGACAGACAGGCAGAGGTTTCAGAGGGTTGTAAAGGCAGCATAGAGGATCATCGGCTGGCCCCTCCCCTCCCTGATGGATATTTACACCTCCCGCTGAGGAGGTAGAGCTAAAAGCATCATCATGGGCAGCTCCCACCCTGGCTGTGACTGTATGACCTGTTGCCCTCTGGGAGGTGCTACAGGTGCATCACAACCAGGACAAAGAGGCACAAGAACAGTTTCTTTTTCCAAGACGAGAGTCATAACCACTTTAAACTCTCACATAAACTGATACAACCTGACTTCAGGTCTCCTGTCCGCTCACTAATCTGTGCAATATCTGATATCCATATGCTATTAACAGTGACCGCAATACCCAGTATGTATATAGCACAACTTTGCACCATTTTTCATTAGTTTTACTGTTTGTGTTTGACCGGACAGAAGGAGCTGCTTTTTATCTCCTTGTACTTGCGTATAGTGACAATTAAAGGCATTCAATTCTATAATGCATGTCTGTTGTATGTTTGTGATTAAACATTTAATACGTTTTTATTCTTGTGTTTTGTTGTTCCAGCTGATTGACTTGAGCTCTCCACTTATCAAATGGAGTCCAGACGAAAAGAAAGAGAACAGTGCTCCCCTCATCAACCTGTCCTTCTGAAGCACGAGATCTCGGCACGTTTCTGCCAACAACACATCAGATCTAATGAAGCAATATCATTTACATCTTCACTGAAGCAGTTATGACTTAAATGACTTCATTTTAAGTTTCCTTTAGTTTAACTAATTGTACTTTTATTTCTTTCTGACTTGCTACTTTTATTGTTTGAATAAATATTTTGGATGTTCCAACTGGATCGTTTCTACTTGAGTCTCTGAATTACAAACCTAAAGATGACAGAAAGCAGGCAGCACATGAAGTGGATTAATAATAAAAACCTAACAGAATCTGGGTGCTGCTTTTTCTTCTCTTCCACATCTGCTGGTTGAGCTTTTCTAACATGCTGAGCATGAGTCAACAGTGGCAGAGGAGAGTTAAAACTTCTGTAGCCTCAGCTCAACATGGATTTGATCTCCATTCAGGTGAATCAACTGTTTGTTCTCCCGTGGTGGAATGCTTTATATTGTACTGGAGTTAGAGGTTTGCTGCTGTCTTAATACTCCAGTCGCAGACATATCAAATCTGTTCTAGTCTTGTTAGATCTCAGTGCTGCTTTTGACACAGTAGATCATTATGTTCTTTTAGAAAGGCTTGAACATGTTGTAGGGATCAAAGGAACAGCGCTAGGCTGGTTTAAATCCTACCTGTCTGATAGATTTCATTTTGTAAATGTACATGACAAATCGTCTTCATACTCCAGGGTTACTTGTGGAGTACCACAGGGTTCAGTGCTTGGACCAATTCTTTTTACTATATCTATGCTTCCAATTGGTAAAATCATTAGACATTGTGAGATAAACTTCCACTGTTATGCTGACGATACTCATTTATATCTATCCATTAACCCTGATGAACCTAATCGGTTAGTTAGGCTTGTCTTGAAGAAATAAAAAATTGGATGGCTCAAAATTTTTTGCCTTTAAATCAAGACAAGACTGAAGTTCTCATCTTTGGACCTGAAATTCAAAAACAAAAGTTGCTTAGCCAATCACCTGATCTGAACGGTATTAAATTCATCTCCGAGAACAAAGTAAGGAACCTTGGTGTTATCTTTGACCAGGTCAAAAGTCTTTGGACATGTCATTCAAATCCCACGTTAAACAGGTTTGTAGGATTTCGTTTTTCCACCTTCGGACTATTGCTAATGTAAGCGGGTGATGGGTTGTGCGCATGTGCCGTTAACCTTGAACTGTCGGACTGGAGGTTGGAGTCACTAGACTGTGTAGACCTTCATTCGTTCGCAGACTGCTGTGGTGTTAACAAGTGAAGCTTCCAAATAAACGGAGACGTGTTCCCGTACTCCAAAGGTATTTTTCGCCTATCTCTTCGCAGGACCATGTTCGGAGGCTCTTTTACCGGTATGGACGAGGACAAGCAGAGCCCAGTTTGGACTGAGGACGTGTGTAACATCAAAGTGGAGCTGCCCGCGCCATTTTGTGGCAACGGTCGTAAACGCTTCGCTACTTGGATTAAACAGTTTGAGGCTGCCGTTCGCGCCCAAACGCGAGGAGCGGGAAGACGGAGCTACACCGCCACTTTGGCTGCTCTTTTGCCCACTAGTATGGACGGGGCTGCTTTCCTTTTGTGGGACAGCCTTCCTGCAGCTACGCAAGATGACTGACCGTGTTAAAGAGAAGTTAAATGAGGGATTTGGACAGAAACGTTTCATCTTGTACTTTCAGACCTGTGTTTCTGCTCGGCCTAGGCTGGCAAATGAGAGTTTGGAGATATATGCGGCTGATATTTTTAGGCTTGTCACGGAGGCTTTTCCTGATGTGGCGAGCGGGGCCACTTATCAATTTAGAAATACAACGCCACCTGATTATCAGGAACCAAAACGACTGAAACTAAAGGCACATTAGTTCATTTTTACAAATAAAGCTTGAGACGGAGTTCCATTCCACATAAACAGGGATTTTATTAAAAGAACAATAAATTGAGTTTAAAATAATCTACTAAAAACACCATGCACCTTCAGATCAACACAGATTAATCTAAGTTAATCTCTATGCGATAACTGACCAAAGAGCCACTACGGTGGCTGAATGCCTCTTTAATAGTTATATCCTTGAGCATGGGGTGATGGAGACTCTTCATAAGGACATGGGCAGGCAGTTTGAATCTGAAGTGGTTAGACTGTTATGCGAAATGTTGGGGGTGAAAAAAACACATACCACACCCTATAACCCCAAGTCTGATGGCATGGTGGAGCGGCTAAATAGAACCCTTATTGATCAGCTTGCTAAGATTCTACTGGCATGTGAGGGTGAGTGTGACTCCTTTCTTTCACAAGTCGCCTTTGCTTACAACACTAGCGTACACTCCAGTACTGGATTCACACCTTATTTTCTCACCCACGGGCGAGAAGCTCGTACTCCAGTTGACGTGGCCCTGGGCAGGACTCTTCAAATGAGTTTGTTCTATCCCTGCAAAGACACCTAAAGACTGCTTTTCGACAGTGTAGGGACAACAGCATAACTGCCAGTGACAAACAGAGAACATTCTATGACAGAGGACAGCGACATCATCCATATGAGCCCGGGGACCTAGTGTGGTTAAATGACCCGACGGAGAGCCGTCGTAAACTGGCTCCCCATTGGAAAGGACCTTACATTGTGCAGCAGAGGCTGGACAGGGGTGACTCGGTTGGGGTTACCTATGTGATCAGTAGCCCATTTGGAGATGAGGCTCCCATCCAAACTGTACACTATGACCGACTACAGCGCTACTGCCTTCCCGTAACCTTCCCACTGACGGGCCCGTCTCGGACTCCACCTGTGTGTTTACCATCCCTCGAACTTCCAGATCTTGCCCTGTCACCAGCTGGTTATGATTTGGGGACCCCTGTTCCCTCACCTGAGTTTGGTGTTAGTACCAGCCCTAGTTTGGAAGGGTCCTCTTTTTGTATGGGTACTCCAGTACAGGTTTCTCGTGCTGGACGCCGTACCAAACCACCAGCACGTTTTGCTGACTATGTGATGAGGTAATATTTTGGGTTTTTATTTTATTTTGTTTTGTACATGTTAGCTGGTATGTTGGGTTCCTGTCATGTAGTGCCATGTTATATTTGAGGCCTTTATGTTATATCTACTATGCTGTTGTCCGTTTCATAGTGTCGTTAACAAAATAGGGACATTTCCTTTGTAAGGGGGGGACGACTGTAAGCAGGTGATGGGTTGTGCGCATGTGCCGTTAACCTTGAATTGTTGGGCTGGAGGGTGGAGTCACTACTCTCTGCGTAGACCTTCATTCGTTCGCAGGCTGCTGTGGTGTTAACAAGTGAATCTTCCAAATAAACAGACGTGCTCCCGTACTCCAAAGGTATTTTTCGCCTATCTCCTCTTTGTCCTGAGACCACGAGCTTGAACCTCTACAGCTCGCCCATTACACTAAGATTAGAAACATCCTTTCCAGAAGTGATTCTGAAGAACTAGTTCATGCATTTATTATATCAAGACTGGATTACTGTAATTCATTACTATCAGGAAGAAAACGTATAAAGAAAACTAGAACCAATAAAAAAAGATGTATAGGAGTGAGTTTATGGAATAGCCTTGATAATCGTTTAAAAAAATCTTACTCGTTGAAAATATTCAAAAAGTGTTACAAAAATCGTTGTCGTCTTCCTCCGCTTATCCGGGTCCGGGTCGCGGGGGCAGCATCCCAACTAGGGAGCTCCAGACCGTCCTCTCCCCGGCCTTCTCCACCAGCTCCTCCGGCAGGACCCCAAGAAGTTCCCGGACCAGATTGGAGATGTAACCTCTCCAACGTGTCCTGGGTCGACTCGGGGGCCTCCTGCCGGCAGGACATGCCCGAAACACCTCCCCGGGGAGGCGTCCAGGAGGCATCCTGACCAGATGCCCAAACCACATCAACTGGCTCCTTTCGATCCGGAGGAGCAGCGGTTCTACTCTGAGTCCCTCCCGAATGTCCGAGCTCCTCACCCTATCTCTAAGGATGAGCCTGGCCACCCTACGGAGGAAACTCATTTAAGCCGCTTGTATCCGCGATCTTGTTCTTTCGGTCATTACCCAAAGCTCATGACCATAGGTGAGGATTGGGACATAGATCGACCGGTAAATCGAGAGCCTGGCTTTCTGGCTCAGCTCCCTCTTCACCACGACAGATCGGCTCAGCCTCCGCATCACTGCAGACGCTGAACTAATCTGCCTGTCGATCTCCCAATCCCTCCTACCCTTACTCGTGAACAAGACTTAAACTCCTCCACTTGAGGTAGGACCTCTCCCCCGACCTGGAGTTGGCAAGCCACCCTTTTCCGGTCGAGAACCATGGTCTCAGATTTGTAGGTGCTGATCCTCATCCCAGCTGCTTCACACTCGGCCGCGAACCTACCCAGCAAGAGCTGAAGGTCAGAGCTGGTTGAAGCTAGGAGGACCACATCATCCGCAAAAAGCAGAGACGAGATTCTCCTGCCACCAAACTCGACACACTCCACACCACGGCTGTGCCTAGAAATTCTGTCCATAAAGGTAATGAACAAAACCGGTGACAAAGGGCAGCCCTGGCGGAGTCCAACCCTCACAGGGAACAGGTCCGACTTACTACCGGCAATGCGGACCAAACTCGAGCTCCTCTGGTAAAGGGACTGAGTGGCCCTTAACAGAAAGCCACCCACACCATACTCCTGGAGCGTCCCCCACAGGGTGCCCCTGGGGACACGGTCATAAGCCTTCTCTAAATCCACAAAACACATGTGGATTGGTTGGGCAAACTCCCATGGCCCCTCCATCACCCTTGCAAGGGTATAGAGCTGGTCCACAGTTCCACGGCCTGGACGAAAACCTCATTGCTCCTCCTCAATCTGAGATTCAACTATCGATCAGACCCTCCTCTCCAGTACCTTGGAGTAGACCTTTCCAGGGAGGCTGAGGAGTGTGATCCCCCTATAGTTGGAACACACCCTCAGGTCACCCTTCTTAAAGATGGGGACCACCACCCCGGTCTGCCACTCCACAGGAACTGCCCCCGATGACCACGCAATGTTGCAGAGATGTGCCAACCATGACAGCCCTACAACATCCATAGCCTTGAGATACCCAGGACGAACCTCATCCGCCCCCGGGGCTTCGCCGCTGTGTGCCCCGAGATTGGAAAGTCCATCCCCAGGTCTCCCGGCTCTGGTTCCTCCTCGGAATGTGCATAGGTGGGATTGAGGAGCTCCTCAAAGTAT